AAGACACAATATTTTTTAAAATAAGTGATTGTTTAGTGTTTAATTAATCGTTCATTCTTCGAAGGAATTTGCATTTTTAGACGAGGAGAGAGCATTTTTCGCTTCAACTTTTATATCAGTGCAAAGACAACATTGAGCTCTATGGGGAAGATCCGGTCATTTTTGTTTAAAATTTATATTTATCAAAATATTTGCTTTTTAAAAAAATACTGACTAATGAAAATAAAGTAAAACTAAGCAAATGTTCAGAATATGATGAGTCTATACTTGTGATTTACCATTCCATTAATATTTTTTGGATTTGTTTATACATACAGGGTGACTCAAAAAAAAAATAATGAATGACTGAGTCAATTTATTTTATTGAAGAAATCAAGAATTGCAAAACTGAATACTTCGAAATCTTGTCAATTAGTTAGAAAAAAAACCTGTCCTGCTCTAATAACATCGAGAATATACTCAAAATCACACTAATATTAGGTCTAATTGTGCCGACCATAGTTATAAAATTCACATTAAAGTACGTCACGGACATTTTTTGAAGTGTACTACATTTCAAAAAGCAAAAAAAATGTTCAGTTTATAAACTTCTTAATTTTGGTTTAAAGTTTATCAATCATATTTGACGCTTTATTTTATCCGTTCCATTTGTTATCCTTTACTGCGGTCTCTCTTGGGTCGAGGTGTAACACCGGACCGAACGTTCTTCGACCGATAGGATAATTTATTACTTCCGACATCTTTTCGGTGACAAATTTAATCTTTGCATACTTCAGCGCAGTTAGTGAACTCGTTGTGACCACTGAAATATACAAAGAGTAAATTTTGAAATGGAACGAAAGTCGAAGAATACTTTCAAAGCCACGATCAAAATGTATTTGCTTATCTTCGCCAAAAAATGCATGACGTCATCGTAAAATTTGATATGATGAGTCTATACCTGTGATTTATCATTGCAGTAATATTTTTTAGATTTACTTATACAGCCTGTCTCAAAAAAAGGTCACTTCGATTTTCGATTTTTCGTTTTTTCGACCAACAGTTTCATCGAATTAGATTTTTCAGTTTCCATTTTTCTATCAACTTTTCGATTTTATTACTTTCTAATTTTCTGATTTTTCAAATTTGCGGTATTTTGATTTTTCGAGTTTTCAGTTTTTTCGTTTTTCGATTTTTTAATTTTTCATTTTTTTGGTTTTTCGATGTTTCGATTTTTTAATTTGCCATTCTTTCAATTTTCGATTTTTCGTCTTTTCATTTTTAGATTTTTTGATTTTTCTGTTCGTCAGTTTTTAGAGTTGATTGCAATTTTTTTGCATTTTTCGATTATATTTTACTTTCCGATTTTTTTATTTTTGAATTCTCGATTTTACGTTTTTAATTCTTCGATTTCCGATTTTTCAATTTTCCGGTTTTTTAATTATTCTATTCTCGATTTTTCGATTTTCCATTAATCATAAAATTTTTAGATTTTTCGGTTGTTTTATTTTTCGACCTTCGATTTTTCAACTTTCGATTATTCGATTTTCCATTTTCTGATTTTACGATTTTTCGATTTTGTGGTTTTTCGATTTTTCTGTTTGTTTCAGTTTTTATGGTTCTGCAATTTGCAGCTTTTAGATTTCAATTTTGTTACTTTCCGATTTTCCACTTTTCGATTTTTTGATTTTTTTCGATCGTCGTTTTTTCGATTTTCATTTTTTCGATTTTTTGATTTTTCAATTTTTAGGCCTTGAAATTTGTTTACTTTTCGCTTTTTCGAGTATTTGTTTCATCGAATTTTCGAGTTTTCGATTTTCGATTTTTCGGTTTTTCCATTTTCCGATTTTCGATTTTTCGATTTTCCATGTTTAGATATTTTTCGATTTTTTTTATTTTTCGATTGTTCTGTTCGTCAGTTTTGAGACTTTGCAATTTTTACTCTTCCACTTTTCTCTTATTTTAGTTTCGGATTATTCGATTTTTGAATTTTCGTTTTTTTTTAATTTTTCGTTTTCCGATTTTTTAATTTTTCGATTTTTCGGTTTTTTATTTTGTCGATTCTCGATATTCCGATTTTCGATTTTTCGATTTTCCAATCTTCGATTTTTCAATTTCCAGTTTTCGATTTTCCACTTTTTGATTTTACGATTTTTCTGTTCGTCAGCTTTTAGGCTTTGCAATTTGTTTACTTTTCGATTTTTCGACTATTTTTTTCCAGTTTTTTGATTTTTGAATTGTCGACTTTTAGAGTTTTCAATATTATGAATTTTCGAATTTTCGGTTTTCCTATTTTTCGATTTTTGATTTTTCCATTTTTCGGTTTTTTGATTTTTCAATTCTCGGTTTTTCAATCTTGCAAATTTTCGATTTTTCAGATTTGTGAATTTCCAGTTTTTCGATCGACCTACATATTAGATTCATTGAATTTTCGATTTTCGGTTTTTCCATTTTTAGATCTTTGAATTTCCAGTTTCGTATTTTCAGATTTCCTGTTTTTCGCATATCTGATATATCAAATTTTCGATTTTTCGGCTTTTCGATTTGTCGATATTTGATTTTCGAATTTTCGATTGTTCAGTTTTCCATTTTTCAGCTTTTAGACTTCAATTTTTTTACTTTTCGATTTTCCAAATTTTCGAGTTTCAATTTTCAGATTTTTGATTTTTCGATTTTCTTTTTCAATCTTTGAATTTTTCGGTCTTGATTTTTCGAATTTTTTATTTTTAATTTTTCCATTCTTCGGTTTTTAGACTTCAATTTTCTTTCTTTTAAATTTTTCGTTATTCTATTTTCCGGTTTTCAGAATTTTCGATTTTCAGTTTTCAGACTTTCGATGATTAGAATTTTGGATTTTTCAGTTTTATGATTTTTCGATTTTTAGAAAATTTGAGTAGCCGAATTTTCGATTTTTCAATTCATCGATTTTTCTATGTTCAATTTTTCAATTTAAAAATTGCGATTTTCAATTTGTCCAATGTCGATTTTTAGAATTTTCGGTTTTTCAATTTTTCCATTCTCAACCGTTAGACTTCAATTTTGTTACTTTCCGATTTTTTGGTTTTCGATTGTCCAATTTTCAGAATTTCCATGTTTCTTTATTCAGATTTTCGATTTTCCACTTTTTCGATTTTAGATTTTTCGAATTTTTGTTTTTCCAATTTTTTGCTTTTTCGATTTTTCTGTTCGTTTCAGTTTTTAGGCTTTGCAATTTTTTTTACTTTATATATTTTGATTATTTTAATTTCCGATTTTTTTATTTTTGTTTTTGATTTTTTTAATTTTCAATATTACAAATTTTTGACTTTTCGATTTTTTGGTTTTCCCGTTTTTCAATTTTCGATTTTTCGATTTTTGAGGTTTGTGAATTTCCACTTTTCGATCGACCTAGGTATTTGATTCATTGAATTTTCGATTTTTTGATTAGCCATTTTTAGATTTTCGATTTTTACGATTTGTATTTTTCGATTTTCTGTTTTTTGCATTAGTGAATTTCAGTTTTTCCGATTTTTGATTTTGCGCATTTTTGATTAATCAAATATTGTTGCTTACAAAAACTTCAAAACATCTACAATATTTCAAAGTATTCAGTTTTGCTATTCTTGATTTCTTCAATAAAATAAATTGAATCAGTCATTAACTTTTTTGAGACACCCTGTATAACCAAATCTAAAAAATATTAATGCAGTGATAAATCACAAGTATAAAACTCATCATATTTTATACATTTAAGATAGGCTTTATTTCCTCAAAATTTTGAGGTGACGTCATAAATTTTTTAGAGGGGATAAGCAAATATATTTTAATTAAAAATGTATCATGTTTATCATGATTTTAAAACATCTGCAAGATTTCAAAGTATTCGATTTTGCAAATTCAAAATTAAATTGCAAAATATTGTTTTATAATTTTGATTTTTTTTCCAAAAATCTGGACGTTTCGGATAAAAACTCAACACGGAGTCATAAACTACATGTGTAGGACTATGTTACTGTATACAATTTAAAACCCATTTACTTTGCATAAATTTGAAGTGACGTCATCACATTATTGGTGGGGATGATTAGACAAATTTTTAATTTTGCGACATTTATGAAAAAAATATCAGTTAACAAAAATGGCACGTTTTTATTATTATGCCAGTTACATGTCACTCAACGACAATATCGTTTTCTTTTTAAGAGTATTTTATTTGAAAAAGTGATGAAATTTTTTATACGGAACAATTGGTCGAAAGATGTTAGAAAGCAAAATAATTCATGTCCGGACCATCGTTACTCACGAACGAAAGTGACCATTATTTTATGGATTTTTTTTGAGAAAGTACAGTTATTTTTATGTTTTAGCAGGAATGTGTTCTATTTTCTATTAATTTTTACATATTTTTAGTCACAATTTTGGTAGTTATTTTTTACTTTTATTTTAAGCGATAATAAATAGTCCAAACACGAAAAAATAAAAAAAAATGAAAATTGGAAAATCTAAAATTTGAAGAATGGAAACATTGAAAATGTCAAAAATTAAAATACTGAAAAATTGAAACATCAAAAGTTGAAAAATCGAAAAACCGAAAAATCTCTATAATAAAAAATATCAGTATTCTTTGAACAACACGATCTCAAAAACATATTTTTAATTTCTTGTAAAGAAATAAGGATTTTGCAGTTAAGCTCCGCCCTCTTGGCTCACAACGAATAAAAAAAATCATCACAATTGAGATAGGGTGGGTGGGCGGGGCTACATTTTGCCTTTTTTTCTTAACATGTGTAGACTTATTTCGACACAAGAAACTTAAAACGTGTCTAAAATGATAAATTTTTGTGGTAAATAACTTAAATCCTATTTAAACCGATTTCGGAAAAATTCGTAATGGTTTAAAGATTTGGTGAGCTGAGGATTTTTAGGTGTTAAGGAATTCAGTATTTTGTGGATTTGAGGTAATGTAGTATGACACAACACAATTGTTAAAAAATTACAATAGTTTCTAAATAAAAACAAAATTTGTATTTTAAATACATATTAATATACAAAATTATACAATCCCCATAAAGACTATACATTATCTGTACTTGTTAAAACAATCATAGGCAATTTTCTTGACCTTACTACATCATCAACATGAGGAGAAAAATTTTCTGACAATTCCACCAACTCATTTTTAGTAGTAGAAATTTTATGATTAAACTGTAAGTACTTTTCACTCAAATCATCAATTAACTTATCCATATCATCCAGCTCTTTTACACTAAAAATAGGCATATCTAAACTCTTATTTGCTACAGTAACATTCAAACTATTAAATAAGTGGTGCAGACTTATTTCATCACTAGTAGTCTTATTAACACTGTCAAGCATCATCAAATCATCTTTCTTAAACTCAAGAACTGGCTTATCACTAGACAAAAACACCAGCAGTTCAGCGCACTTCTCTGATAATTTCTTCATCCGCTCCAATGCAGCCATTTCATCATTTATTTCCACAGAAGTCACTAATCCCTCAACCATCGAACGATCCACCATTTGCTTCTTTTTTTCTTTGAGACGCTTACTAACAGTACGCAACTCCGCCTCTACTTTGTCCTGCTCCTTAACCAAATCTTCCGCATCTCGAGCCGCTTTTTCACAAGTAGCGTGAAACCCATCCATAATTTTCTCCACTTCTTTCTCCACAAGCAAAGTCCTTGCTTTAACATTCCTAGTAACGATATTAGTAACACTTGAATTTTTATGTGGCCTAACCGGCCCCAACATCTCTTCCACCCCCTCATTCTTCCTCAAATGTTCATACATCACCAGCTTCGACAACTTCAACATAAATTTGGCAAACTTGTAGCCCCCAGGCGACATCAAATGCGACGCCATCAAATTCGGGATGTTAGCGTGCGGATATTCCGCGTTAATGTGGTTAATAAACGCTATGACTTCGGTTCTAAACGCACTTTCAAGCTTCACGTCATACAGGGGCCAAGTGATTTTTTCTTTGGTTAGTTCGGGGCTCAATATTGTGAAAAGGTAGTATACGACGTGCTGGAAAGCGGCTTTGTTGCTCTTAACGAACATGTTCTTTTTGAAGACCTCGTCGAAGCTTTTCGTTGTGGGGTAAAAGTGGGTGAGCAGTTTTATGTTGGTGTAGAGATTGTCGTGGAGTTTGTGTTCGAGCTGTTTGACGAAGAGGGCCATCGTGGTGCTGCGAAATAAAGGTGGTTTTAATTGAGGGGGCTGTTAATTTACTTACTTTGAATGTGATGAAAAACGACCAGTTTTAAACGGTTCGGGTGAATTTGAACGGGGTTTGACAGATGACAGGAGTGTGTTTAGCAGGGCTGCCAATGGTATAAAAGACACTTTTTGCTTGAGTTGGGTTTAATTTTTTTAATATAATTAGTAAAATTGGAGTTTGTTAGATGAATTAGAAGCGTCGAAAGTTATTAAAAGTATTTTATAAAGGACTTGTGGTTTTTTCAGACGGTAGTAGACCGTAGAGAAGTATAGAGGGTTGCCTATAAATATAATTTTAAATTGTTAGAAAAACATCAGCACGCACAATCGTTAATTTGTTTAAATAATTGTGTTATTAACGTTATTTTTGGAAAATGTTTCGATGCCTCGTAACTTTTTTAGCGTGGTTGGCACCGATCATAGATGTACAAAGAGATCAAAGCTTGCTTTGACATAGTGTCATTTCCAAAATTGTTCAAGTTTTTTTGTTGCTTCTGTTTCGTTGGATAAATTCGTTATTCACCCAGTACAACCACGTTTAGGTGAGTTTTTACTTAAATTTATTACTTTTGTTAAATAATTAGTGAATGCGCAAAAGGTTGATCAAAATTTTTTAAGAAAACTCGGTTTCGGATCGAACGGAGTTGAAATGCACGGAACCCAAATATACCATATCATTAGAAAATCTAGCAACCCTTGAAATTTAATGTTGGCATTACTAATTCGTCCCTTGTTTTTGTATGACACTTAACGTTTCGGGGGCTACGAATTTTGTTTAAATTTTTATATACTTTTTCTATCCAAATATTAGGCCATCAGTTATTTCAAAGATTTTTGATAAAATACGCAATCGGCAGTTTGCTTTTGAGCAAAATAGTCTATTTTTTACAATACGGTCGTGCCTCAAACGTATGGACTTTGCAGTTAAGCTCCGCCCCCTCGCCTCACGACGAATAAAAAGATTAATCACAATCGAGATGGGGTGGGTGGGTGGGGCTTATCTTTTGATTTTATTAGTGTATGTACATAGTCTTCTTTCAACAATAAAATACTTAAAATATCAAACGGTAAATTTGAAGCTAGAGTTATATTTTAAATAGCGTGTTGTTGAAAATCGGTATACATTATAATAAGAAGTCAATAATTAAGAATAGGATGAGACTATATTTGTGATTTATCATTCCATTCATATTTTTTAGTTTTGCTTATAGGGGGTGTCTCAAAAAAAATTAATCACTGAGTCAGTTTATTTTATTGATTGAATCAAGAATTGCAAAACTGAATTTTGAAATTTTGCAGACGTTTTGAATCTCAAGATTTTGCCGAATAAATCCTATCTAAAATGTGCAAAATATCATCAGTATATTTTCGTAAATTTATCATTGTTTTCATATTTTTTAGATTTGCTTTTACAGTGACTGACAAAAATGTTTGGATCAGTCAATTTATTTTAGAGAATTACTCAAGAGTTGCAGAAATGACATAATTAATATAATTCGTAATGTTTAAATATGATAACTATTAATATGTGATAATTAAACCGAAAACCATTTTCCTAAGAACACGAGGTTAGCAAAACAAATTAGTTTGTTTAAACATTGTTGAATTAACCCCGAAAATGTACAATTTCTCTGCGAAAATATGAAAAATAATTTTTGCAATCTCATCGTGACGTACGATGACGTCACTGTCACGTGAGCCACCTGACAAAAGGTCACATTTTTCGGTCCTCTGCGTTTAGTTTTGATTTCGGTTTGGTGGCAGCAACATCAGAGTCCGTTTTGGCTTAAAAGTAGGGCTCTTTTCACGAATTTCTAATTTATTATTAATAAATATTAGTGAAAATGTGTTGTATTAGTATTGTGAACACGAACGAAGTTGGATATTTTTCCGAAAAGGACCGAAAATAAGGTGAGTACGACTTTCGTTTACTCGACAATGTTTAAATTTTGGAAAAAAATTCGAAACGGTGAAAGCTATACATTTTCACGATATAATCAAATAAAATTTAGACATAATTAATATTATTTATAATGCTCAAATATGGTAAGTAACTATAGTGAATATATATAGGTAAATAGAATGGCAGAACAAAATTAATAAGAAACTTTCGCAATGTGTAACTAAATTCACTTTAACCAAGACTTTTCTTAAAATAAAGGTTTTTTTTACGAAAAAACAAAGAACGATTTGAAATGCAATATACTTTTCACAATCGCACGGAAGAATTAGTTTTGTATGATACGTCAGTTAGACGACAGGTCCGTCAGGAACGCCAACTATTGAAATTAATTCGAAGTGACGATTCCCATACAAAATTTTTAGAATTTTTTGGTTTTTTAGCTGTCTTATTTTTTGTAAATTTTCTTATATACAAACCTTGTCCTGACAATAAGGAACACGTAAAAAAAAGAATCATCCAATTCGGTGCAGTCGTTCTGAAGTTATGCGCGTACATACATTTCGGCGATTTATTTTTATTTATATAGAAGATTAATCACCGAAATGGAGACGGGTGGGTGGGCGGGGTTTATTATATGTTCTAGTAGTCGGAGTTTAATAGAAGAAAAGAAGCTTTTACCTTAAAAAAAAGACAAATGGGAGCTCCGACGAGATTTAACATTCTTAAAAAAAGACACTAATTTGGGACTCCCGAGAAGGTTTCGCCTTCTTAAAATAAAAAAGACATTTGGGGCCCCTGAGAAGGTTACACATTCTTAAAAAAAAATTTGGCGTCCCCGAGAAGATTTGACATTTTTAAAAAAGACATTTGGAATCCCTGAGAAGGTTTCAAATTAAAAAAAGGACTGTTGTGCCCCCCAGGGTTTTACATTAAAAAAAAAGACATTTGGCGTTCCCGAGAAGATTTTACATTTTTAAAAAAGACAGTTGGTACCCCCGAGAAGGTTTTAAATTAAAAAAAGACATTTGGCGACCCTGAGAAGGTTTTACGTTTTTAAAAAAGACATTTAGGGCCTCCGAGAAGGTTTCACTTCCTTAAAAAAGGTCATTTGGGACACCTGAGAAGGTTTCACATTGTTAAAAATGACATTTGGCGTCCCCGAGAAGGTTTTACATTTTTAAAAAAGACATTTGGGACCCCTGAGAAGGTTTCAAATTAAAAAAGGACTGCTGATGCCCCCGAGGTTTTACATTAAAAAAAAAAGACATTTGGCGTCCCCGAGAAGATTTTACATTAAAAAAAAAACATTTGGCGTCCCCGAGAAGGTTTTATATTTTTAAAAAAGACAGTTGGTAACCCCGAGAAGGTTTCACGTTTTTAAAAAAAGACAGTTGGGACCCCTGAGAAGATTTCACATAAAAAAGCCATTTGGTGTCCCCGAGAAGGTTTTACATTTCTAAAAAAAGACATTTGGCGTCTCCAAGAAGATTTTACATTTTTAAAAAAGATATTTGGGGCCCCCGAGAAGGTTTTACATTTTTAAAAAAGACAGTTGGAACCCCTGAGAAGATTTCAAATTAAAAAAAAAACAGTTGGTGCCCCCGAGAAGGTTTTACATAAAAAAAGACATTTGGCGACCCCGAGAAGGTTTTACGTTTTTAAAAAAGACATTTGGGGCCTCCGAGAAGGTCTCCCTTCCTTAAAAAAGATCATTTGGGACACCTGAGAAGGTTTCACATTGTTAAAAATGACATTTGGCGTCCCCGAGAAGGTTTTACATTTTTCAAGAAGACATTTGGGACCTCTGAGAAGGTTTCAAATTAAAAAAGGACTGTTGATGCCCCCGAGGTTTTACATTAAAAAGAAGACATTTGGCGTCCCCGAGAAAGTTTTATATTTTTAAAAAAGACAGTTGGTAGCCCCGAAAAGTTTTCATGTTTAAAAAAAAAAACAGTTGGGACCCCTGAGAAGATTTTACATTTTTAAAAAAGACATTTGGTTGGGGCCTCCGAGAAGGTTTTACATTTTTAAAAATGACATTTGGGCCCCTGAGAAGGTTTCAAATTAAAAAAAGGACTGTTGGAGCCCCCGAGGTTTTACATTAAAAAAAAGACCATTGGCGTTCCCGAGAAGATTTTACATTTTTAAAAAAGACATTTGGCATCCCCGAGAAGGTTTTATATTTTTAAAAGATAGTTGGTACCCCTGAGAAGGTTTTACATTTTTAAAAAAGACAGTTGGTACCCCCGAGAAGGTTTTACATTAAAAAAAGACATTTGGCGACCCTGAGAAGGTTTTACGTTTTTAAAAAGACATTTAGGGCCTCCGAGAAGGTTTCACTTCCTTAAAAAAGGTCATTTGGGACACCTGAGAAGGTTTCAAATTAAAAAAAGGAGTGTTGGTGCCCCCGAGGTTTCACATTTTTAAAAAAAGACATTTGGCGTCCCCGAGAAGATTTTACATTTTTAAAAAAGACATTTGGCATCCCCGAGAAGGTTTTATATTTTTGAAAAAGACAGTTGGTACCCCCGAGAAGGTTTTACATTTATAAAAAAAAAGTTTTGAAGCCCCCGAGAAGATTTTACATTTTTAAAAAAGACAGTTGGGATCCCCGAGAAGGTTTCACATTCTTAAAAAATACATTTGAGGGCCCCCGAGAAGGTTTCACATTAAAAAATACATTTGGGACTCCTGAGGAGGTTTTACATTTTTAAAAAAACATTTGGGGCCCCCGAGAATGTTTCACTTTCTTAAAAAAGGTGAATTAGGACCCCTGAGAAGGTTTCACCTTAAAAAAAAAATAGTTGGGACCCCTGAGAAGGTTTCACATAAAAAAGCTATTTGCTGTCCCCGAGAAGGTTTTACATTTTTTAAAAAGGTAATTGGGACCCCTGAGAAGGTTTCACATTCTTAAAAAAGACATTTGGCGTCCCCGAGAAGGTTTTACATTTTTAAAATTGACATTTGGGACCCCTGAGAAAGTTTCAAATTAAAAAAAAGACTGTTGGTGCCCCGAGGTTTTACATTTTTGAAAAAATACATTTGGCGTCCCCGAGAAGATTTTACATTTTTAAAAAAGACATTTAACGTCCCCGGGAAGGTTTTATATTTTAAAAAAAAACAGTTGGTACCCCCGAGAAGGTTTCACGTTTTTAAAAAAAGACAGTTGGGACCCCTGAGAAGATTTCACATAAAAAATCCATTTGGTGTCCCCGAGAAGGTTTTACATTTTAAAAAAAAGACATTTGGCGTCTCCGAGAAGATTTTACATTTTTAAGAAAGACATTTGGTGTCCCCGAGAACGTTTTACATTTTTAAAAATGACATTTGGGACCCCTGAGAAAGTTTCAAATTAAGAAAAGGAGTGTTGGTGCCCCCGAGGTTTTACTTTTTAAAAAAAGACATTTGGCGTCCCCGAGAAGATTTTACATTTTTAAAAAAGACATTTGGCGTCCCCGAAAATGTTTTATATTTTTGAAAAAGACAGTTGGTACCCCCGAGAAGGTTTCATGTTTTTAAAAAAAGACAGTTGTGCCCCCGAGAAGGTTTTACATTTATAAAAAAAAGATTTGAAGCCCCCGAGAAGGTTTTACATTTTTAAAAAAGACAGTTGGGATCCCCGAGAAGGTTTCACATTCTTAAAAAATACATTTGAGGTCCCCCGAGAAGATTTCACATTAAAAAAAACATTTGGGACTTCTGAGGAGGTTTTACATTTTTAAAAAAGACATTTGGGGCCCCCGAGAATGTTTCACTTTCTTAAAAAAGGTGAATTAGGACCTCTAAGAAGGTTTCACGTTTAAAAAAAAATAGTTGGGACCCCTGAGAAGGTTTCACATAAAAAGGATATTTGCTGTCCCCGTAAAGATTTTACATTTTTTAGAAAGGTAATTGGGACCCCTGAGAAGGTTTCACATCCTTAAAAAAGACATTTGGCGTCCTCGAGAAGGTTTTACATTTTTAAAAAAGACAGTTGGTACCCCCGAGAAGGTTTCATGTTTTTAAAAAAAGACAGTTGGTGCCCCCCGAGAAGGTTTTACATTTATAAAAAAAAAGATTTGAAGCCCCCGAGAAGGTTTTACATTTTTAAAAAAGACAGTTGGGATCCCCGAGAAGGTTTCACATTCTTAAAAAATACATTTGAGGGCCCCCCGAGTAGGTTTCATATTAAAAAAAACATTTGGAACTCCTGAGGAGGTTTTACATTTTTAAAAAAGACATTTGAGGCCCCCGAGAATGTTTCACTTTCTTAAAAAAGTTGAATTAGGACCCCTGAGAAGGTTTCACGTTAAAAAAAATAGTTGGGACCCCTGAGAAGGTTTCACATAAAAAAGCTATTTGCTGTCCCCGAGAAGGTTTTACATTTCTTAAAACGGTAATTGGGACCCCTGAGAAGGTTTCACATTCTTAAAAAATACATTTGGGGTCTCCGAAAAGGTTTTAAATTTTTAAAAAAGACGTTTGGGACCCCTGGGAAGGTTTCACATTCTTAAAAAATATAAAATACATTTGGGGTATCCGAAAAGGTTTTAGATTTTTAAAAAAGAGAGTTGGTACCACCGAGAAGACTTCAAATTAAAAAAAAGACAGTTGGTGCCCCCGATAAAGTTTTATATTAAAAAAAGACATTTGGCGTCCCCCAGAAGGTTTTATATTTCTAAAAAGACATTTGGGGCCCCCGAGAAGATTTCACTTCCTTAAAACAGGTCATTTGGGACTCATGAGAAGGTTTCACGTTTTTAAAAAAGACAGTTGGGACCCCTGAGAAGATTTCACTTAAAAAAACCATTTGGTGTCCCCGAGAAGGTTTTACAATTTTTAAAAAGGTAATTGGGACCCCTGAGAAGGTTCCACATTCTTAAAAAAGACATTTGGTGTCCCCGAGAACATTTTACATTTTTAAAAATGACATTTGGGACCCCCGAGAAGGTTTCACATTAAAAAAAAAAGACATTTGGGACTCCTGAGGGGGTTTTACATTTTAAAAAATGACGTTTGAAGCCCCCGAGAAAGTTTAACATTTTTAAAAAAGACAGTTGATACCGCCTGACAAGGTTTCACATAAAAAAAGAAGACATTTGGGGCTCCCGAGACGGCTTCGCAATCTTAGAAAAGGTCATTTAGGACCCCTGAGAAGGTTTCACATTCTTAAAAAATACATTTGGGGTCTCCGAAAAGGTTTTAGATTTTTAAAAAAGACAGTTGGTAGCACCGAGAAGGTTTCGCATAAAAGAAGACATTTGGCGCCCCCGAGAAGGTTTCAGATTAAAGAAAAAAGACATTTGGTACCCCCGAGAAAGAAAGAAAGTGGGGTAATTTCATTAATAAAAAATTTGTTATGACGCCATAAACATAGATAATACACAATGTGTGAGAAAAAGAGGAAGAAAAAAGAAAAAAAACAGGAATGGCCAAGTTTGGAATTGAACTCGCGACGTCCGATCGGCATTCTTGCCTCGTAACCACTAATCTACGTGGTTTTTCTAATATACATAAAAAATTTGACAACAATCTGTTCAGCTGTTTCGGAGATTACGTGTGTAATAAAAATGGATACAGACACCAGACAGACAGACAGACAGACAGACAGACAGACAGACGGAAACGGGAGGCCACTTTTTTCGTACTCTAGAGAAAATATAAGTAGACATTTGTCCGATGGACTCGATTACGTAGTTTATGCTCGGGAATTAAAAAAAGAAAACATTTTTTACAAAAATATCATATTTCAGAAATCGAGTAATAAAGAGACATCGAAACATTACATTTTATTTACATTTCTAATTTGGTTTCCTGGTAATCCATTATTTTAAAAATTGGTGAGTTTCGTACTTGGGTCAATATTACGTAATTTTCCTATTATAAAATTCTGTTTTGCCATCTGAATTAGTTATCAATATATTTTCTTTAGAATTTTGATAAGCTAAATTTTTTTATCTGACCTGACCAATCGCGACCTGACCTGACCTGATTTGATCTGACCTGACTTGGCCTGACCCGACCAAACAGAAATTTCTTCACAATTAAAAAAATTATCACGTCACTGAAGAATCAAATTTGGCCCCAACCCCCACCAAGTACTCCACAATTCTCCCATGCCCCTTCCCCGCAGCAACCCCCAGCGGCGTCACCCCCTCCCCATTCGCCAAATTAACATCAGCCCCAGCCCCCACCAAAAACTCCACAATTTTCTCATGACCATTGCAGCAAGCCACAAAAAGCGGCGTCACACCATCTTGTCGCGCTCGATTAACCTCAGCCCCTGCTCCTACCAACCACTCAACACTCTTCTCGTACCCGTTCCTCGAAACCAAATAAAGTGGCGTGACACCATCACAGTTGGCGCAGTTAGTTGTGGCCCCACAATCCACCAAGTACCTCAAAATGTCTTCGTGGCTGTTCCTAGCCGCCAGATAGAGGGGCGTTCGCCCGTCTTTTTCGGCGAGGTTGATGTCAGCCCCTGAGGTTACTAAGTACCTCACGGTTGCTTCGTGACCGTGCTGGGACGCTACTTGTAGTGGTGTATAGCCGGCGTTGTCAGGGCAGTTAATTCCTGCTCCTGCTTGTACTAAGTGGTTAACGATTGTTTGGTGGCCGTTGAGAGAGGCTACGTAGAGAGGGGTGAAGCCGTGGTTGTTGGGGAGGTTGATAACAGCTCCGGATTTTAGTAGGTGTTGGACGGTTTTTGTGTGGCCGCGTTGACAAGCTAGTAACAGGGGGGTGTTACCATCGTCTCTGGTAGCAAAGTTGGTTTCGGAAGGGTCCAGGTTTTGGAAAATGGGTAAATGGGTTAGGTCGTAGCCAAGTAGAGCGGAATAATATAAAACGTTGATTCTGTGGTAGTGGTGACACAGTTTTGACGTTTGGTTGTCTAGGAGTTTGAGTTCTGCCCCCAAGCTTTCACTCTTTCGGGCGTATGATAGTGGCGTCATTTCTAGTAGCAGGTCGTACTCTGAAGTGTTGTCTTCAGTTTGCAAAAAAATTAACGCGTCTAAATATTCTTCCACCTCTGATTTCCCGTTAAAGCTGCTATTTTCGTCAAGGATGTACCTTCCATTGTCTTGTGTTACTTTGACACGTGGATGTCTTTGTCCCCAGGAACAAATCAAATGAAACGCACTTCTTCCACCAGCATCTTTAACACATAGAATGTCGTCACTATACGTTTTGAGTAAGTCAAAATTTCTGTACAACACTGCAACGTGAGCTGGTGATTCTTTCGCCAACAACATGTCAAAGAAAAAACGCACGTTGTTGTACCTCTGAAAAAAAAATACATCCCTGGGTATATCTTCAACGTTCTTCGAAAAATAAGACGCCACCAAGTACTCCGCAAACGACACGTGCAGAAACCGTGGCACGTTATTCTGGATTTCGGTGATAAGCCCAACAGACGCAAAATTTTTGGAAATTTTGCCAACCAACTTCTTACAATCAATATTCAACCTCTGTAGAATAAACCCAGGAAAGATTAACCTAAAAGCTAGCTTCTCGTAGTACTTCAAGGTTTTTTCCTGTTCGTTACGAATTCTGCTCATCAAGTACGGATTTCGAAGATCAAAACCCATTTTGTTTTCGTAAAAAATATTAAACGTTTCTTGGATGAAATAGTGGTAGAGGTCGGTCAACAGAAACGTGTTGTTTAACAGCTTTAGGTACTTGTTTTTGTCTCGACGGAAGAGTTCCGTCAACATGAAGATTTGTAATGGTATGCCTAAGATGTCCACGTGTTTGATGACCTCGAAAGTTGACTTAATTTTCTCAGAGGTTGTCTGGATTTCTTCGTGAGAGACGAAAGGTGCAAGACGGTGTTCAATGTAGTGTTGTTGTTCGTGGTGGTCGAACTTGCTTATACTAAGTGAAAGTACACTGAATTGTTTTTCCAAATACGTGGTGAGGTGTCTTCGACTAGTAACCCACTGGATGAACCCGTTTTTTGACAACCGGAGGATTATTGTTGAAACGGTGTCCAAATATTCGCTGAACACTTCATCCAGAGCGTCCCACACAAAAATAATGGTTTTCTGTTTCAGACACATTTTGAAAATGTCTTGGTCCAGCGTTCTGACTGAGCCGGATTTTTCGTCGACGATGAATTTTTCAAACAAGGTGGTTGACGTCGTGAAGAATAAATTGACGTCTTTGGGGTGGATGATTACGGTCCAGTATTTCGGCAAACTTTTATTTTTCAGGCTTTTCATCAGCTCGGATTTACCCATTCCTGGATCACCGGTAATAAGATTTATCGGGTTTTCTGGCTTCGCACTCCAAAGGGTGTTTTCGTTTGCAAAATAGTTGGATAGTTTGAACCTTCTCAAATCGCTCACGTCACCTTTGCTCAAAACCCACTCCAAATTTCCGTCGCCCGAAATTTTGAAATAGTGAAAATTTCTGCAGTTCGTGTTTTCGTTGTAGATTTTTTGAAACTGGTGGTGACTATGGTTGTTACTAGTTAGGTAAACTTTATTACCAACGTCTGATTTTTCAAAAATATCTTCATGATCAAAGATTCTAATTAGTGTCCAGTTATTAAACTTGCTTTTTACTTTATCAAAATTGTCTTCACAGTTCAGAATAATGATAGTGCTTTCATCAACGGTTTCGATGTATTTGATGTCGATGATGTTTCTGGATAGGTAGCGGTCGATGTATGATTCGGACAGCGATTCTTTTTTTCCGTCTATATAAAGTGGGCCGTTTGTCATTTCTATCAAGTCGTCTGTTGTCACCTTTTCTAAAAAGTCGTCGTTTCTTCCAAACACTGTCACTAGATTGAGTTCTTTTTTCCCTTGTAGAGATATAGTGAAATTGTGCATTACTTTTTCGTAGGACTCTACTTTATTTTTTAAGTCTGATAAGTTTTGAAACTCTTGTCTTGGACCCTCACCAAGCAAAATTATCTTTTTGTTGGTACAAAGGTGCAATGCTTGATCGACATTTCCACTTTCGTTTATTATCAATGGAGATTTATTCATCAACCAGAACAACTGGGCTAACAATTTTGGGTCTAGGTTGTGAATATCACCAACGTCAATGTAGTCGTTACCTAGTTGATATAACTTTCTTATTTTGTTTAATTGGGTTAAATCGACGTCTTCGTTTGGTACATCCCCCCACAACTGTGTGACAATTCGGGCCGATTTTTTTCCAAACCGGGTGCTACCAAACCTAGAAATAGCTTCCCGAAGTATCTTCATTTTGTCATTAACAGAACCAACACACACAGGTTCAATGTGGGACGAAAGAAGCTGCAACGCAATCATAAGTTGAACCCATTTCTTGCCCACTTTTTCTTTCTTTCCTTCTTCCAAATTCCACTCACAGATCACTTTAACGAATCTATGGAACGTCTCCTCGTCCGAAGAATACGTCGATTTGAATCGCTGGCACGTTGATCGCTTAAGAGCGTGAAAATTGTCTTGATTGGTGTAGAGATAAAGTCTATCAAAAAATAGTCGATAATCGCAAATTTTATCTACGCTCTGAGACGTCTGTTCGTTTTCCAAAATTTCGAACTTGTAGACATAATTCACGTTCTTCGAAATTCCCAAACCGTTGTTTGGAACCTCGATTTTAGCCGGTCTAACATAAAACTCTTCTCCCTCAAGCTGAAACCCTGCCTTGTTTTCAAAGTCAAAATTCCGGTTGGTGAAAAGTATAAACTCGTCTGCAGCGTTTTTGATTTTTTTGAAAGACTCGAAGTATTTCTGGATGCTGAAGTCCCCCTTTTTCGATTTTAGGTTTTCAGGGGATAGCGTTTTTCGACCGCTGTGTTTCAATTGTAGTGCTTTTATTGCGATCCCGGCGTCCGATTCGAGCTTGATTACTACGTCGTCGAAGTCGTCGAAGTCGTTGTCGTTGGACGATATTTGGAAGTTTTTGATTTTGTCGTTGGTGAGTAGGTGTAGGACCACGCTGGCGATCACCATGGTTTCGTAGTCCTTGCCCTTGTCGGTCGTGCCGGGTCTTTTTCTAAAAATCTGCAAATAAGTGTCTAGTGTTAGTTATTCAAGCGTGACTATTTTCGTTGTAATATAGTCAAAGGGCTGGATGGTTTTCCCTAAGTTATTATTTACATTTCGTATCTTCTCATTTGAAATTTAAAAAATAACGCATTGGTACAAAAACATTTATGGACACACTGTATATAACGTTCCATATGCAAATTATAGTTCCTGCTTTATGCTACAAGCAATTTATTTTTAACCGCTTTGTTATCTAATGAGAACACTGACATTCCTTGTTTCTGACGCATATGTTGATAAGTAGAAATGGGTTGATTCAGTGTTAAAAGTTGTATTCAAGACACAAAAATCTGTCACTGTTTTTTTGTAAGCAGTGAAAAGCATAAAGGAGTACTCACCTCTGATTCATCCATTGTGATGTGTTTTAAGTTCCAAATTTAACCAATAATCGCACTCGAACGCAACTGATTCAGGATGACCGGCTGACCTTTGTGGTACTGGTACATACATTTTGATTTTGCGCGGTATGACGGTACGCATCGGGATCTTGACTGTGAGCTACTTATGCTTCAACGTAAATCAAAATGCGTACAAAAATTAAATACTCTTTATTTGATGTATCGATTTCTGGATTTTTCGATTTTTCGATGTTTTAATTTTCCGGTTTTTGAAATTTATATTTTTTCCATTTCTCAGTTTTCGATATTTCTATTTTTCAAATTTTTGACTTTTCAATAATTTGATGTTTCGACTTCTCGGTTTTGGTTTTCAGTTTTTCAATTTTTCGAAATTTAAAATGTTAGATTTTTCGATTTTTAGTTTGTTCAGTTTCTAAATGTTTCAATCCTTCGATTTTCAAGTTGTAATTTTTTTGAATTTTGAAATTATTGGATTCCTCCATTTTTTTCAATTTTTTGGATATTTAAATTTTCAGATTTTCAAATTTTAGATTTTTTAGTTTCTCGATTTTACGATTGTTTGATTGTTTAGTTTTTGCTTCTGCCAAATTTTCGTCATTTAACGTTTGGAATTTTTCAGCTTCTCAATTTTTCATTTTTTCGATTTTTGACGAATTTTTTGAATTTCAAAATTTTCGATTTCTCCATTTTTTCAATTTTTTGTATATTTTAATTTTTCAAATTTTTAAACTTTATATTTTTGAATTTGTCCATTTTTAAATACATATTTGAATTTTCAGTTTCTTGATTTTCCAATTTTCCAATTTTCTAAATTTTACATTCTTCGACTATTAAATATTCGGTGTTTAAATTCTTTGATTTTTCAGTTTTTCGATTTCTCGACATCGATATCTCCATATTTCGTTTTTTAGTTTGTTCAGTTTCTAGAAGTTTCAATCCTTCGATTTTCAAGTTGTAATTTTTTGAATTTTAAAATTATTCGATTCCTCCATTTTTTTTCAATTTTTGTAATATTTAAATTTTCAGATTTTCAAATTTTAGATTTTTTAGTTTCTCGATTTTACGATTTTTAAGTTTTTCAATATTTCTATTTTTCAGATTTTCAATTTTTTAAAATTTTTATATTTCAGTGTTTCGATTGTTTAATTTTTCAATTTTTCCTTTTTTGATCTTTCCATGTTTAGATTTCTTGATGTTTCAGTTTTTGAATTTTTCGATGATTTGATTTTCCAATTTTTCGCTGTTTTGATTATTAAATTTTTCCATGTTTCAAACTTTCGTCATTTGAAGGATCAAGGACGGAGGACGAAGGATCAAGGATGAAGGACGAAGGATCAAGGACGAAGGACGAAGAATGAAGGATCAAGGACGAAGGACGAAGGAGGAAGGAAGAAAGACGAAGGACGAAGAACGAAAGATCAAGAGCGAAGGATCAAGGACGAAGGACGAAGGATTAAGGACGAAGAACGAAGGATTAAGGTCGAAGGACGAATCACAAAAGACGAAGGACGAAGGATCAAGAACAAAGCACGAAGGCCGAAGGACGAAGGATCAAGCACGAAGGACGAAGGATGAAGAAACATGGGAAAGGATCAAGGACGAAAGACGAACGATCAAGGACGAAGGACGCAGGATCAAGTACGAAGGACGAAGAATCAAGGACGATGGACGAAGAATCAAAGACGATGGACGAAAGACGAAGGATCAAGGACGAAGGATCAAGGACGAAGGATCAAGGACGAAGGATCAAGGACGAAGGATCAAGGAAAAAGGATCAAGGACGAATGATCAAGGACGAAGGACCAAGGACAAATGATCAAGGACGAAGGATCAAGGACGAAGGATCAAGGACGAAGGACGAAGAATCATGGACTAAGGACAAAGAATCAAGGACGAAGGACGAAGAATCAAGTGCGAAGGACAAATGATCAAGGACGAAGGACGAAGAATCAAGGACGATGAACGAAGGCCGAAGAATCAAGGACGAAGGATCTACGACGAACGACGAGAAATCAAGGACGAAGGATCAAGGAAAAAGGATCAAGGACGAATGATCAAGGACGAAGGACCAAGGACAAATGATCAAGGACGAAGGATCAAGGACGAAGGATCAAGGACGAAAGACGAAGGATCAAGGACAAAGAACGAAGGATCAAGGACGGATGACCAAGGATCAAGGACGAATGACGAAGTATCAAGGACGAATGACGAAGGATCAAGGACAAGGGATCAAGGATGAAAGACGAATAAGTAAGGACGATGGACGAAGGATCAAGGAGGTAGGACGAAGAACGAAAAATCAAGGACAAAGGATCAAGAGTGAAGGACGAAGAATTAAGGACGAAGGATAAATCACAAAGGACGAACGACGCAGGATAAAAGACGAAGGACGAAGGATCAAGGACGAAGAATCAAGGATCAAGAGTGAAGGACGAAGAATTAAGTACGAAGGAGGAATCACAAAGGATGAACGACGAAGGAGCAAGGACGAAGGACGAAGGACGAAAAATCAAGGACGAATGACGAAAGACGAAGGACCAAGAGTGAAGGATGAAGAATTAAGGACGAAGGACGAATCACAAAGAACGAAAGACGAAGGACGAAAGACGAAGGACGAAGGATCAAGGACGAAGGACGAAAAATCAAGGACGAAGGACGAAAAATCAAGGACGAAGAATCAAGGATCAAGAGTGAAGGACGAAGAATTAAGTACGAAGGACGAATCACAAAGGACGAAAGACGAAGGATGAAAGACGAAGGACGATAAATCAAGGACGAAGGATGAAGAATCAAGGATCAAGGACGAAGGACGAATAATTAAGGACGATCGACGAAGGATCAAGGAGGTAGGACGAAGGACGAAAAATCAAGGACAAAAGATCAAGAGTGGAGGACGAAGAATTAAGGACGAAGGACAAATCACAAAGGACGAACGACGCAGGATAAAAGACGAAGGACGAAGGATCAAGGACGAAGAATCAAGGATCAAGAGTGAAGGACAAGAATTAAGTACGAAGGAGGAATCACAAAGGGCGAACGACGAAGGAGTAAGGACGAAGGACGAAGAACGAAAAATCAAGGACGAATGACGAAGGACGAAGGACCAAGAGTGAAGGACGAAGAATTAAGGACGAAGGACGAATCACAAAGGACGAAGACGAAGGACAAAAGACGAAGGACGAAGGATCAAGGACGAAGGACGAAGAATCAAGGACCAAGAATCAAGGACCAAGAATCAAGGATCAAGAGTGAAGGACGAAGAATTAAGTACGAAGGACGAATCACAAAGGACGAAAGACGAAGGACAAAGGATCAAGGACGAAGGACGAAGAATCAAGGACGAAGGATCAAGGATCAAGTGTGAAGAACGAATCACAAAGGACGAAAGACGAAGGACGGAGGACGAAAAATCAAGGACGAAGGACGAAGAATCAAGGATCAAGAGTGAAGGACGAAGAATTAAGTAGGAAGGACGAATCACAAAGGATGAAAGACGAAGGATGAAAGACGAAGGACGAAGGATCAAGGACGAAGGACGAATAATCAAGGAGGAATGACGAAGGATCAAGAGTGAAGGACGAACAATTAAGAATCACAAAGGACGAAAGACGAAGGACGAAGGATCAAGGATCAAGGACGAAGGATTAAGGATGAAGGATCAAAGACGAAGGATCAATGATGAAAGATCAAGGACGAAGGATTAAGGACGAAGGACGAAGAACATGTTTCAGTTTTTAAATTTTGGATTTTCTATTTCTGGGTTTTTCAATTTGATTTTCCAATTCTTCGATTTTTAACTTTTAGTTTTTTGAATTACGGAATGTTTCGATTTCTCCATTTTTTCAATTTTATTAAGACATATTGTAATTTTTCAAATTTTTAAATTTTAGTTGTGTTAATTTCTCGATATTTCGATTTTCCAATTTTTCGATTGTTTGATTGTTTAGTTTTTCCATCTGCCAAATTTTCGTCATTTAACGTTTGGAATTTTTCAGCTTCTCAATTTTTCAGTTTTTCGATGCTTCAATTTTTCGATTTTTTTTATTTTGGACTTTCTATTTCTCGATTTATGGGTTTTTCGATTTTTGACGAATTTTTTGAATTTTAAAATTTTCGATTTCTCCATTTTTTCAATTTTTTGTATATTTTAATTTTTCAAATTTTTAAACTTTATATTTTTGAATTTGTCCATTCTTAAATATTTGAATTTTCAGTTTCTTGATTTTCCAATTTTCCAATTTTCTAAATCTTACATTCTTCGACTATTAAAATTTTTCGACTTTTCGATTTCTCAATATTTCAGAATTTCAGTTTTGGGAAATTTTAAGTTTTTCAATTTTTTGAAAAGCATTTTTTTCGTTTGGTTATAAAATTAAATATATTTCATATTGTTCGCAATAGAAGGCAAGACGAAGGTCAATTTATTAATTGAAAAAGCGTCCGCAGTCTCTCATAAAGAAAACGAACATCAGTAGACCCAGATCTAACCCTGAGGTACTCCAAAAATGTGAGAAAAGCAGCAGACGTAAAATTACGTTATTTAACCTTTCTGTTGGATGAAATGTTATTGTTTTTAGCTGGTGTAACAAAACAAGAAACTCGTTTTTAAGACTTGTTTTTGTAATACAAGACTTTCAGCACACACAATGAGATAACTTCTCCAAAATACGACAAAATTGTTTACTGATAAAACTTGATAAATTTACAATAAGGATAAGTCATAAAACAACAACACACCTAATACTTCTACCTGCTACTAAAATCGCAGTATCCACAAACATTTCAAACACTTGACACTAGTGACAGTGACGTTTTGTTGTTCAAGCTTAGGACTTCTTCCAAATTTACAAAATGCAGTTGCGTAAGTTGCCCCACTGGACCCAACACCCTCAAGATCTCTAGCTTCTTTTCCAAATTAGGGGCACCTCCCCTACGTTTCTGGATCGCGGTGATGATCTTTTTTACCACTTTCACAAATTATATGTTGAGGTCGAACATTTCGGTTAGCATCATCAAAATGGTCGACAGGAAGTCCAAGAATTTTACGCCCCCGTGCAAAGAAGGTCAAGTGAAAACAAACGCCACAAAGAAAGAGGAGATCGTAAGTGTTTTGTGTCTTTAAAAGCAGAAATTTGATTTGATAAAAATAATACTGTTGGGTCTTCTAGAACGAAACTCGCTATCAATGGAACGAAAACGAGGTGGGCCTTATCATCTCTGCCTACTTCTACGGCTACATCGTCACAGTGATGCCCGGAGGAATCCTCTCCGAAATGCTCGGTCCATTCCACGTCATACTCTGGACTAGCGTCGGTTCCGCGATCCTCACCGGCCTCACTCCCATCTGTGCAGAACTAGGCGTCTACGGAGTAGTCGCCAACAGATTTCTCGTGGGTTTTCTCGGAGTAAGTGATTGTTTCCATTCGGAACCAATTTCTGCCAACTCACACTATACAGGGTGTTGCATACCCCGCCGTCAACGTGCTGATAGCAAAGTGGGCACCGCCCAAAGAAAAGGGCAAGTTCTTGGCCGCCATGATGGGAAACACGTTGGGAACGGTGGTTTCGTTCAATCTGGTAGGCTGGGCTACGGCGCTGTGGGGTTGGGCTTGGGGGTTTTACGTCCTGGTGTTTGTGATGGTTGTGTTTTGTCTCGCTTTTGCAATATTGACCAGGGATACGCCAGAGAAGCATCCGTGGATTTCGGAAGGCGAACTGGCTTTCATCAAGGAGGCGCAGGAGGGACACGTTTCGGCTAAAAAGGTGAGGGTAGTGAGGGTCTTCAGGGGCGAGGGAAGTTCTACCCAATAGCATTGTTTAAGTATATTATAGTTGGACAACCTATACGGACAATCACTTTCCCATGTAGAAAAGAATGAATATATATTTTACATCTCACTCGGTACCTTACGAAAGGGGGTAAAAATAGTTCGTAAGCACGTGTAGTAAACGGACGTATTAATCAGTATGTTGTACAATCGCACGCAAATGTTTTGAGCCTATGGGCGGATCGTTTTTGCCTGCCCTCACCGAAGAAGGCGGTCCAAATCCTTCAAGGGCAGAATTTGTAGGTAGGCTCAAACTACAACGAAATTCACATTTTACCCTATAAAATTATTAGTAGTTATATATACATTTGGTAAGAAATATTTATGGCTCACACCAGTTCTCTCGAATTTGTCGGAGAAGATTTAGCAGATAGTTGTTCCCATAAAATAATGGTCACTTTCGTTCGTAAGTAACGATGGTCCGGACATGAATTATCTTGCTTTCTAACATCTTTCGACCAATTGTTCCGTATAAAAAAATTCATCACTTTTTCAAATAAAATACTCATTAAAAAAAAACGATATTGTCGTTGAGTGACATGTAACTGGCATAATAATAAAAACGTGCCATTTTTGTTAACTGATATTTTTTTCATAAATGTCGCAAAATTATTAAATTTGTCTAATCAACCCCACCAATAATGTGATGACGTCACTTCAAATTTATGCATAGTAAATGGGTTTTAAATTGTATACAGTAACATAGTCCTACACATGTAGTTTATGACTCCGTGTTGAGTTTTTATCCAAAACGTCCAGATTTTTGGAAAAAAAAATCAAAATTATAAAACAATATTTTGCAATTTAATTTTGAATTTGCAAAATCGAATACTTTGAAATCTTGCAGATGCTTTAAAATCATGATAAACATGATACATTTTTAATTAAAATATATTTGCTTATCCCGTCTAAAAAATTTATGACGTCACCTCAAAATTTTGTAGAATAAATCCTATCTTAAATGTATAAAATATGATGAGTTTTATACTTGTGATTTACCACTGCATTAATATTTTTTAGATTTGGTTATACAGGGTGTCTCAAAAAAATTAATGACTGAGTCAATTTATTTTATTGAAGAAATCAAGAATAGCAAAACTGAATACTTTGAAATATTGTAGATGTTTTGAAGTTTTTGTAAGTATGGTAACTTTTTCAAAAATTTGATTAATCAAATATGCGCAAAATCAAAAATCGGAAAAACTGAAATTCACTAATGCAAAAATCAGAAAATCGAAAAATACAAATCGTAAAAATCGAAAATCTAAAAATGGCTAATCAAAAAATCGAAAATTCAATGAATCAAATACCTAGGTCGATCGAAAAGTGGAAATTCATAAACCTCAAAAATCGAAAAGTCAAAAATTTGTAATATTGAAAATTAAAAAATCAAAAACAAAAATAAAAAAAATCGGAAATTAAAATAATCAAAATATATAAAGTAAAAAAAAGTTGCAAAGCCTAAAAATTGCAAAGAACAGAAAAATAGAAAAAGCAAAAAATTGGAAAAACAAAAATTCGAAAAATCTAAAATCGAAAAAGTGGAAAATGGAAAATCTGAATAAAGAAACTTGAAAATTCTGAAAATTGGAAAATAGAAAACCAAAAAATCGGAAAGTAACAAAATTGAACTCTAACAGTTAAGAATGGAAAAATTGAAAAACCGAAAATTCTAAAAATCGACGATGGACAAATTGAAAATCGCAAAATTTAAATTAAAAAATTGAACATTGAAAAATCGATGAATTGAAAAATCGAAAATTCGACTACTCAAATTTTCTAAAAATCGAAAAATCATACAACTGAAAAATCCAAAATTCTAATCATCGAAAGTCTGAAAACTGAAAATCGAAAATTCTGAAAAGCGGAAAATAGAATATCGAAAAATTTAAAAGAAAGAAAATTGAAGTCTAAAAACCGAAGAATGGAAAAATTAAAAATCAAAAATTCGAAAAATCAAAACCGAAAAATTCAAAGATTTAAAAAGAAAATCGAAAAATCAAAAATCTGAAAATTGAAATTCGAAAATTTGGAAAATCGAAAAGTAAAAAAATTGAAGTCTAAAAGCTGAAAAATGGAAAACTGAACAATCGAAAATTCGAAAATCAAATATCGCAAATCGAAAAGCCGAAAAATCGAAAATTTGATAAATCAGATATGCGAAAAACAGAAAATCTGAAAATGCAAAACTGGAAAATCAAAAATCTAAAAATGGAAAAACCGAAAATCGAAAATTCAATGAATCTAATACGTAGGTGGATCGAAAAACTGGAAATTCACAAATCTGAAAAATCGAAAACTCGCAAGATTGAAAAACCGAGAATTGAAAAATCAAAAAACCGAAAAATGGAAAAATCAAAAATCGAAAAATAGGAAAACCGAAAATTCGAAAATTCATAATATTGAAAACTCTAAAAGTCGACAATTCAAAAATCAAAAAACTGGAAAGTAAAATAATCGAAAAATTGAAAAGTAAACAAATTGCAAAGCCTAAAAACTGACGAACAGAAAAATCGAAAAATCGTAAAATCAAAAAGTGGAAAATCGAAAACTGGAAATTGAAAAATCGAAAATCGGAATATCGAGAATCGACAAATTAAAAAACCGAAAAATCGAAAAATTAAAAAATCGGAAATCGAAAAATGAAAAAAAAAACGAAAATTCAATAATCCGAAACTAAAATAATAGAAAAGTGGAAAAGTAAAAATTGCAAGGTCTCAAAACTGAGGAACAGAACAATCGAAAAATTAAAAAAATTCGAAAAATATCTAAACATGGAAAATCGAAAAATCGAAAATCGGAAAATGGAAAAACCGAATAATCTAAAATCGAAAACACTAAAAATCGAAAATTCGATGAAACAAATACTCGAAAAAGCGGAAAATAAAAAAATTGCAAGGCCTAAAAATTGAAAAATCAAAAAATCGGATAAAATGAAAATCGAAAAACTACGATCGAAAGAAAATCAAAAAATCGAAAAGTGGAAAATCGGAAAGTAACAAAATTGAAATCTAAAAGCTGCAAATTGCAGAACCATAAAAACTGAAACAAACAGAAAAATCGAAAAACCACAAAAGCGGAAAAACGAAAATCGAAAAATCGTAAAATCAGAAAATGGAAAATCGAATAATCGAAAGTTGAAAAATCGAAGGTCGAAAAATAAAACAACCGAAAAATCGAAAAATTTTATGCTTAATGGAAAATCGAAAAATCGACAATAGAAGAATTAAAAAACCGGAAAATTGAAAAATCGGAAATCGAAGAATTAAAAACGTAAAATCGAGAATTCAAAAATCAAAAAAATCGGAAAGTAAAATATAATCGAAAAATGCAAAGAAATTGCAAAGTCTAAAAACTGACAAACAGAAAAATCAAAAAATCTAAAAATGGAAAGACGAAAAATCGAAAATTGAAAGAAAGGCAAATTAAAAAATCGAAACATCGAAAAATTAAAAAAACGAAAAATTAAAAAATCGAAAAACGAAAAAACTGAAAACTCGAAAAATCAAAATACCGCAAATTTGAAAAATCAGAAAATTAGAAAGTAAAAAAATCGAAAAGTTGATAGAAAAATGGAAACTGAAAAATCTAATTCGATGAAACTGTTGGTCGAAAAAACGAAAAATCGAAAATCGAAGTGACCTTTTTTTGAGACAGGCTGTATAAGTAAATCTAAAAAATATTACTGCAATGATAAATCACAGGTATAGACTCATCATATCAAATTTTACGATGACGTCATGCATTTTTTGGCGAAGATAAGCAAATACATTTTGATCGTGGCTTTGAAAGTATTCTTCGACTTTCGTTCCATTTCAAAATTTACTCTTTGTATATTTCAGTGGTCACAACGAGTTCACTAACTACGCTGAAGTATATGTGTCTTGTATGTACGTGCTTATCAGTATATATATAGGCATTTTAATGCACAGCAATAATCGTTCTTTATGAGTGATGACTGATGACTGAAAATCGAGAAATGGAAACATAAAAAAATCAAAAAAATAAAAATTGGAAAATCTCAAATTTAAAAATCGGGAAATTGAACAATCGGTTAATTCAAAAATCGAAACATCGAAAAATTGGGAAATCGAAAAATAAAAAAAATTGGACAATCGAAAATTTAAAAATTCCGAAAATTGAAAAATTGAAATGTAGAAGAACTAAAAACTCAAAAAATCGAAAAAAATTAATAATTTAAAAATTGAAAAGTTAAAAATTGAGAAATCGAAAAACTGAAAAATCACCAAATTGAACGAAATATCAAAAAATTAGGAAATTAAAAAATTGAGAAACAGAAAAGTCAAAAAAGCAGAGTCTAAAAATCGCAAACTTAAAAAATCGAAAAATTGAAAAATCAAAAACCTGAATAATCGAAAAATTGAAGAAGTGAAGAACTGAAAAATCGAAACTTTAGGAAGTGGAGAAATTGGAATATAAAAAAATAGATTAATTGAGAAATCCGAAAACTAAAAATTCAGAAACGTCAAAATTTGAAAAATAAAAAAATATTGAAGAACTGAAAAATGGAGAAATCCAAACATCAAAAAATCAAAAAAAAAATCTAAAATTTAATAATCGAAAAACTGAAAAATCAACGAATCGAGAAGTCGAGAATTTAAAAAATTGGACAATTGAAAAATCGGATAAATCAAAAATCGAAACATCGAAAAATCGAGAAACCGAAAAGCAAAAAATCGAAAAACCAACAAATCGAAAAATCGAAACATTGTAAAATTCAAAAATTGAGACATCGAGAAATCGAAAAATCAAAAGACAAAAAAATCTAGGAGTCGAAAAATCGAGAAGTCGAAAAATCAAAAAATTGAGAAACCGAAATAGGCCAAAATCGAAAAATCGAAAATTTAAATATGGAAAAACTAATAAAGCGAGAGATTGAATAAGAGATCTCAAAAAATTGAAACATTCGGAAATTTAAAAAATTAAAATATAGAATTGGAAACTCGAGAAACTGAAAAATCTGGAAATTTAAAAATTAAAATATGAAAAAGTTGAAAAATTGAGAAATTGAAATAAAAAACAAAAAACTGAAAATCCAAAAATAAAAAATTAAAAAATCTAGAAGTAGAAAAATTAAAGAATCGAAGTATTGAAAAATATCAAAACTGAAAGAAATATCCAAAAATTGAGAAATCGACAAACCAATAAAGCGAAGTCGAAAAATCGAAGAATTGAAGAGCTGAAAAATCGAAACTTTGAGAAGTGGGAAAATCAAAAATAGATTAATTGAGAAATCAGAAAACTGAAAATTTAACGCAAAAATTTGAAAAATTGAAATTTAAAAAATTACTAAAATTTAAAACAATGGATAGTTTAAATATCGCAAAATTGAAGAATCGAGAAATCCAATTCAATTTGAAAAATTGAAAAATTGAAAAATCGGAGCATTGAAAAATTGGAAAATCCAGAAATTCAAAAGCTCAAAAGAAAAAAATCGAAAAACCGAGAAATCCAAATTCGAAACATCGAAAAATTCAAAAACTGAGACTTCGAGAAATCCGAAAATCGGAGGATCGAGAAATTGAGGAGTCGGAAGCCGAAAAGGAAAGTTAAAAATTGAAAAATTGAGAAATTGAACAATCAAAACAACGAAACATCTGAATTCGATAAATTGAGAAATTAAAAAATTGAATAATCGAAAAATTTTAAAAAAGAAAAACTGGAAAATCAAAAATTAAAATTCAAAAAATCGAAAAATTGAAAAATCGAAATATAGAAGAACTGAAAACTCGAGATATGGAAAAACCTAGAATTTTAAAAAATGAAATATTAAAACATCGAAAAGTTTAAAAATTGAGAAATCGAAGCATTAAACAGTCCCAGAATTGAAAAATCTAAAGTTTACAACAAATTGAAAATCCAAAAAGGAAAAAAGCGAGAAATAAAAAAAAATCCATCAATTCAAAAATCGAAAAGTCGAAAAATTGAAATATTGAAAAATCTCACAACTGAAAGAAATATTCAAAAAATTGAGAAATTAAAAAATTGGAAAATTGAGAAATCGAAAATCTAAAAAAGCAAAATTAAAAATCATAATCTTAAAAAATCGAAAAATTGAAGAATTGAAGATGTGAAAAATCGAGACTTTAGGAAATTCAGAAATGGACAAATAAAAAAAATACTTTAGAAATCGGCAAACTGAAAATTTAGAAACGTGAAAATTTGAAAAATTGAAAAATCGAAATATTTAAAAACCGTAAAATTGAAGAGGACAAAAATTGAGAAATCGTATCTTTGAAACATCGAAAGATTGAGAAATCGAAAAATAAAAAAATCGAGAAATAGAAAATTTAAAGAATGGAGGAATCGGAAAAGCCCAAAATTGAAATATTGAAAAATTGAGACTTTTAAAGTTGAAAAATCGAGAAATCGACAAGCCGAAAAATCCCAATAGCGTATTTAGGTATAAATCACAAGATCAGGACTATTCTACTTTTTAAAATTTAAATAACATTATAAATTGGAAAATGTTGATTTTTTTTTCCAAAAATCTTGACGTCTAAGGTGAAAACTCGACATGGATGCATAAACCGTAAACGGGGCGAAACGAATATACTTAAACAATGCTAATAGATAATAGATCTTCTGATTTCTTCTACAAGGCACTTGATATAAAATCAGTAGAATTAAGAACCGCCAACTTGGTCAACTGGATAACTGACTACCTAAATAAATTCAACCCGATTTTTCAGAAAATCCCCCCCTACTTGAAAATAATACTGAGCATCCCCTTCTGGATAACCACTATTGCCCAATTCGGCAACCTGTGGGCCCTCAACCTCATCCTCTCCTACGGCCCGAAATACCTCTCCGAGACTTTAGGTTTCAACCTGAAAGCGTCTGCCGGCCTAGCCGCCCTTCCGTACCTCGCCAGACTGTTGACAAGCCAGGTTTTCGGGATCGTAGGTGACTACATGAGAAAAAAGGAAGTGATGAGCTTGGTCAAAATCCGCAAATTCTTCATAATTTTTTGTAATTATCCAAAAGGTGGTGAGTTTTCATCGAATCGCCCTTTGCAGCGCACTTCATCCCGGCGGCTTGCATGTTCCTGATCAGAGCGGCCGGGTGCAACCACGCCGGGGTTATAGGACTGCTGGTCCTTAATCAGGGCTTCAACGGCGCCGTGGTGGTCGGCCATCTGATTAGCCCTCAGGACCTGGCGCCGAACTTCAGCGGGACGGTTTACGGGATGATGAACCTTGTGGGAATGACGACGGGGATCCTGGTGCCCTCGATCACTGGAGCTTTGAATACACACTACGTAATAAGTTTTTCGATTTGGTTTCGATTTATAGTTTGGCTGCGCTTTTTGCAAAATTTTATGCTATGGTTATTTCAGGAAATGGGTCTAATGGCGGCCACTATTATCTATACGATAGGAGGTGGCGTGCTCACTGCTTCTGGAGTCGCATTTTTCTTATTTGCGAGTGCTGACACTCAGCCCTGGAACGAAATTGAGGAATAATGAGAAGACACAATCATTTCTGACTTCTGATCCTTGTAAAGATAATCTGTGGTTGCATATTAAAATTTGCTGGTTTTTAAGGACTGTCGTAAATTAAACTGACACAATTTGGCTTTAGAATAATGTTAGGTTAGAAAATATTTTCTCATTTTAGTGCAAATCTTACCTTACATTTTGCCATTTAATTTTAATATGTGTAGATTTTTTTTCACAACATTGTGATAACCCAAACATCCTGCCTTAAATTGACATGTGAAAAGAAAAATGGAACCCTACGTTGTGTTTTTGAAAAATGGCGGGATGCGTTCAGAAGCAAATGATGGGCTCCAAGGTTGGAAAAGTACCGCTAAATAAAACACAAAATTTATGGAGGACACAAAATTATTTATTCCTCTACTGACAAAAAAAGAAAAAAAAGTTGGGTGCAAGGGTGACTCGTGACGTGCCCTGAATGAATGCAAATATTAAAATATCACAAATACACAAGTTATTACGGGCGTGTGGCGGCAAATTTAAAATTATGGCAGTTAACAAGAGCACAACAAAAATACCCATAGGGGTGTTCTAGCACAAGCGGAGTTTGGGGCTACCGGTCGGGGTTGTTCCCCCACGACGGTGATTCTGTCTATCGCAAGCCTTCCACAAAGCATGTCTCTATTACGGACGTGCTGTACAATCGCACGCAAATGTTTTGAGCATATGGGCGGATCATTTTTGCCGGTCGTCACCGAAGGAGGCGGTCCAAATCGTCCAAGGGCAGAATTTGTAGTTAGGCTCAAACTACAACGAAATTTACGTGTTGACCAAATTCTTACCCTGAATTAGTTTTAATTTTATAAATACTTACTCTGAATTAGTTTTAATTTTATAAATACCCTATCTAAAATGTTCAGAATATGATGAGTCTATACTTGTCACTTACCATTCCATTAATATTTTTTGGATTTGTTTATTCATACAGGGTGACTCAAAAAAAATAATGACTGAGTCAATTTATTTTATTGAAGAAATCAAGAATTGCAAAACTGAATACTTTGAAATCTTGTCAATTAGTTAGAAAAAAAAACCTGTCCTGCTCTAATAACATCGAGAATATGCTCAAAATCACACTAATATTAGGTCTAATTGTGCCGACCATAGTTATAAAATTCACATTAAAGTAAGTCACGGACATTTTTTGAAGTGTACTACATTTCAAAAGGCAAAAAAAATGTTCAGTTTATAAACTTCATAATTTTGGTTTAAAGTTTATCAATCATATTTGACGCTTTATTTTATCCGTTCCATTTGTTGTCCTTTACTGCTGTCTCTCTTGGGTCGAGGTGTAACACCGGACCGAACGTTCTTCGACAGATAGGATAATTTATTACTTCCGACATCTTTTCGGTGACAAATTTAATCTTCGCCTACTTCAGCGTACTTCGCCAAAAAATGCATGACGTCATCGTAAAATTTGATATGATGAGTCTATACCTGTGATTTATCATTGCAGTAATATTTTTTAGATTTACTTATACAGCCTGTCTCAAAAAAAGGTCACTTCGATTTTCGATTTTTCGTTTTTTTCGACCAACAGTTTCATCGAATTAGATTTTTCAGTTTCCATTTTTCTATCAACTTTTCGATTTTATTACTTTCTAATTTTCTGATTTTTCAAATTTGCGGTATTTTGATTTTTCGAGTTTTCAGTTTTTTCGTTTTTCGATTTTTTAATTTTTCGTTTTTTTAATTTTTCGATGTTTCGATTTTTTAATTTGCCATTCTTTCAATTTTCGATTTTTCGTTTTTCCATTTTTAGATTTTTTGATTTTTCTGTTCGTCAGTTTTTAGACTTTGCAATTTCTTTGCATTTTTCGATTATATTTTACTTTCCGATATTTTTGATTTTTGAATTCTCGATTTTACGTTTTTAATTCTTCGATTTCCGATTTTTCAATTTTCCGGTTTTTTAATTCTTCTATTGTCGATTTTTCGATTTTCCATTAAGCATAAAATTTTTCGATTTTTCGGTTGTTTTATTTTTCGACCTTCGATTTTTCAACTTTCGATTATTCGATTTTCCATTTTCTGATTTTACGATTTTTCGATTTTCGTTTTTCCGCTTTTGTGGTTTTTCGATTTTTCTGTTTGTTTCAGTTTTTATGGTTCTGCAATTTGCAGCTTTTAGATTTCAATTTTGTTACTTTCCGATTTTCCACTTTTCGATTTTTTGATTTTCTTTCGATCGTAGTTTTTCGATTTTCATTTTATCCGATTTTTTGATTTTTCAATTTTTAGGCCTTGCAATTTTTTTACTTTCCGCTTTTGCGAGTATTTGTTTCATCGAATTTTCGAGTTTTCGATTTTAGATTTTTCGGTTTTTCCATTTTCCGATTTTCGATTTTTCGATTTTCCATGTTTAGATATTTTTCGATTTTTTTTATTTTTCGATTGTTCTGTTCGTCAGTTTTGAGACCTTGCAATTTTTACTTTTCCACTTTTCTATTATTTTAGTTTCGGATTATTGAATTTTCGTTTTTTTTTCATTTTTCGATTTCCGATTTTTTAATTTTTCGATTTTTCGGTTTTTTAATTTGTCGATTCTCGATATTCCGATTTTCGATTTTTCAATTTCCAGTTTTCGATTTTCCACTTTTTGATTTTACGATTTTTCGATTTTTCTGTTCGTCAGTTTTTAGGCTTTGCAATTTGTTTACTTTTGGATTTTTCGATTATTTTACTTTCCAGTTTTTTGATTTTTGAATTGTCGACTTTTAGAGTTTTCAATATTATGAATTTTCGAATTTTCGGTTTTCCTATTTTTCGATTTTTGATTTTTCCATTTTTCGGTTTTTTGATTTTTCAATTCTCGGTTTTTCAATCTTGCAAATTTTCGATTTTTCAGATTTGTGAATTTCCAGTTTTTCGATCCACCTACGTATTAGATTCATTGAATTTTCGATTTTCGGTTTTTCCATTTTTAGATTTTTGATTTTCCAGTTTTGCATTTTCAGATTTTCTGTTTTTCGCATATCTGATTTATCAAATTTTCGATTTTTCGGCTTTTCGATTTGCGATATTTGATTTTCGAATTTTCGATTGTTCAGTTTTCCATTTTTCAGCTTTTAGACTTCAATTTTTTTACTTTTCGATTTTCCAAATTTTCGAATTTCAATTTTCCGATTTTTGATTTTTCGATTTTCTTTTTAAATCTTTGAATTTTTCGGTTTTGATTTTTCGAATTTTTGATTTTTAATTTTTCCATTCTTCGGTTTTTAGACTTCAATTTTCTTTCTTTTAAATTTTTCGATATTCTATTTTCCGCTTTTCAGAATTTTCGATTTTCAGTTTTCAGACTTTCGATGATTAGAATTTTGGATTTTTCAGTTGTATGATTTTTCGATTTTTAGAAAATTTGAGTAGTCGAATTTTCGATTTTTCAATTCATCGATTTTTCTATGTTCAATTTTTGAATTTAAATTTTGCGATTTTCAATTTGTCCATTGTCGATTTTTAGAATTTTCGGTTTTTCAATTTTTCCATTCTCAACTGTTAGAGTTCAATTTTGTTACTTTCCGATTTTTTGGTTTTCTATTTTCCAATTTTCAGAATTTTCAAGTTTCTTTATTCAGGTTTTCCATTTTCCACTTTTTCGATTTTAGATTTTTCGAATTTTTGTTTTTCCAATTTTTTGCTTTTTCTATTTTTCTGTTCTTTTCAATTTTTAGGCTTTGCAATTTTTTTTTTACTTTATATATTTTGATTATTTTAATTTCCGATTTTTTTTATTTTGTTTTTGATTTTTTTAATTTTCAATATTACAAATTTTTGACTTTTCGATTTTTGAGGTTTATGAATTTCCACTTTTCGATCGACCTAGGTATTTGATTCATTGAATTTTCGATTTTTTGATTAGCCATTTTTAGATTTTCGATTTTTACGTTTTGTATTTTTCGATTTTCTGTTTTTTGCATTATTGAATTTCAGTTTTTCCGATTTTTGATTTTGCGCATATTTGATTAATCAAATTTTCGAAAAAGTTACCCTACTTACAAAAACTTAAAAACATCTACAATATTTTAAAGTATTCAGTTTTGCTATTCTTGATTTCTTCAATAAAATAAATTGACTCAGTCATTAATTTTTTTGAGATACCCTGTATAACCAAATCTAAAAAATATTAATGCAGTGGTAAATCACAAGTATAAAACTCATCATATTTTATACATTTAAGAAAGGATTTATTCTACAAAATTTTGAGGTGACGTCATAAATTTTTTAGAGGGGATAAGCAAATATATTTTAATTAAAAATGTATCATGTTTATCATAATTTTAAAGCATCTGCAAGATTTCGGAGTATTCGATTTTGCAAATTCAAAATTAAATTGCAAAATATTGTTTTATAATTTTGATTTTTTTTCCAAAAATCTGGACGTTTTGGATAAAAACTCAACACGGAGTCATAAACTACATGTGTAGGACTATGTTACTGTATACAATTTAAAACCCATTTACTATGCATAAATTTGAAGTGACGTCATCACATTATTGGTGGGGTTGATTAAACAAATTTAATAATTTTGGGACATTTATGAAAAAAATATCAGTTAACAAAAATGGCACGTTTTTATTATTATGCCAGTTACATGTCACTCAACGACAATATCGTTTTTTTTTAAGAGTATTTTATTTGAAAAAGTGATGAATTTTTTTATACCGAACAATTGGTCGAAAGATGTTAGAAAGCAAAATAATTCATGTCCGGACCATCGTTACTCACGAACGAAAGTGACCATTATTTTATGGGAACAACTACCTGCTAAATCTTCTCCGACAAATTCGAGAGAACTGGTGTGAGCCATAAATATTTCTTACCAAATGTATATTTAACTACTGTCCGTCCCGTTATTGTCAATAAAATTTTATAGGGTAAAATGTGAATTTCGTTGTAGTTTGAGCCTACCTACAAATTCTGCCCTTGAAGGATTTGGACCGCCTTCTTCGGTGAGGGCAGGCAAAAACGATCCGCCCATAGGCTCAAAACATTTGTGTGCGATTGTACGTGCAGGCCGTTGCGGTCGCAGATCCGCAGTTGGGTCTCGACTATTGGACCAAGTCGACAGCGTTACAACATCGCGACCGCCCCTGAATTCTATTCTAACTTGAATCTTTTGCGCAGGTGACGCCATAAATCTCGCCAGCTCGACTAGGAATCGCGCACTCCACACGTTTTCTGTGTTATTTAACCTCAATTCCATTTTAAATGTTCAATTTCTATGACTCTGATGTTAACAACAACTGAACAAGTATTAAAAGTTTCCAAAGGGTAATAAACAAGATTTAAATTGGCCATACACTCTTGTTAAATTTTAAACAACAAACTATTCTTATTTAAGATTAAAATTGAACATCAGATAATTTATATGATGGAAAAATTCATCAACAAAAAAACAAAACTTAACAAAGATTTATAAAAACAAAAAATCTGGTGTGAAATAAACTTGTGCAAATAAAAATATTAGGTGAGGTTAAAACTGCAGAGCATAAAATTTGCGTTCAATTAAAATTACACAACAAAGAAAATTACTGAGGTTAAAATTGTGAAATAGAGAAATATTGTATGAGATGAAAAATTGCCAAGCTAACAAAATTTAGATGAGATTAATATTTGCCACAAGGACGAAGGACGAAGAACATGTTTCAGTTTTTAAATTTTGGATTTTCTGTTTCTGGGTTTTTCGATTTGATTTTACAATTTTTCAATTCTTCGATTTTTACCTTTTAGTTTTTTGAATTTCGGAATGTTTCGATTTCTCCATTTTTTTCAATTTTTTTAATGTTGTAATTTTTCAAATTTTTAAATTTTAGTTTTATTAATTTCTCGATATTTCGATTTTTCAGTTTTTCGAAATTTTTAGATTTTTGATTTTTCAGTCTTTGGATTTCTTAGTTTTTCATTTCTCGATTTATCCAGATCTCGATGTTTCGATTTTTAGGTTGTTTAATTATTTCTCGATTTTTCGATGCTCAGATTTCTCGTTTCAGTACTATTTGAATTTGTCCATGTTTTCATTTTAGATTTCTCGGTTTTTCGACTTTTTGGCTTCTCGATTTTTCGATTTTCCAATTTTTCGATTGTTTGATTGTTTAGTTTTTCCATTTGCCAAATTTTCGTCATTTCACGTTTGGAATTTTTCAGTTTCTTCATTTTTCAGTTTTTCGATCCTTCAATTTTCCGATTTTTCAATTTTTCGATTTCTTTTATTTTGGATTTTTTATTTCTCGATTTCTCGGTTTTTCAATTTTTGAATTTTAGTTTTTTGAATTTTAAAATTTTTCAATTTATCCATTTTTTTCAATTTTTTGCATATTTTATTTTTTCAAATTTTTAAACTTTATATTTTTGGATTTGGCGATTTTTAAATCTTTGAATTTTCAGTTTTTTGATTTTCCAATTTTTCAATTTTCTAAATTTTACATTTTTCGATTATTAAAATTGTTCGACTTTTTGATTTCTCAATTTTTCAACAGCATTTTTTCCGATTGTTTATAAAATTAAACATATTTCGTATTGTTCGCAATAGAAGGCAACACGAAGATCAATTTATTAATCGAAAGAGCATCCGCGGTCTCTCATAAAGAAAACGAACATCAGTAGACCCAGATCCTAACCCTGAGGTACTCCAAAAATGTGAGAAAAGCAGCAGACGTAAAATTACGTTATCTAACCTTTCTGTTGGATAAAATGTTATTGTTTTTAGCTAGTGTAACAAAATAAGAAATTTGTTTTTAAGACTTGTTTTTGTAATACAAGACCTAATAAATAAACACAAAAATATCCAGTCCTCATTGCGAGGAAAAAACGTTTCGGTAATGTAATTTTTAGCGTTGCGAGGAAATGCCTCGATGATGTAAATTTTAATGTTGCGAGGAAATGCCTCGGTGATGTGATCAATCTTTAGCGCTGCGAGGAAATGCCTGGGTGATGTAATCAATTTCCAACGTTGCGAGGAAATACCTCGATGATGATGATAACGACGCTAATAACGACGATAACTGCCTAAGGAAAGAAATTATTTTAACCCCCCGCCAGTTCACAATATAATGAATTTTGTTAATTTAACTGCCGTAAATGAACTATTAGCAATCTTGTGTGAAGAATTAAGAAGTGCTATAATGTAACACTTAATGCTTAAAATGGTACATTTTTACAAGGAAATATAATATGAAGTTTATTATTGTGATAAGATGGCTATGTATGTATATTAAGAAAAAAAAAGGCAAAATATAAGCCCCACCCACCCGCCCAGTCTCAATTGTAATGATTTTTTTTTAATCGTCTCGAGCCAAAGGAGCAGAATTTAATTGCAAACTCCTAATTATTTCTCCACAAGAAATTACCATGTAAGACATATACTATAACAAAATTTTAAGAAAAAATTAAAGCTAAACATTAAGCCTAATCGCAAAATTCAGTTTCTTACAAAAATTTACCATTTTAATCGTGTTTTAAGTTTCTAAGAATAAAAAAATCATCACAATTGAGACAGGGCGGGTGGGCGGGTTTACATTTTGCCTTTTTCTTTTAATATGTGTACACTTCTTTTCACACCATGAAACTTGAAATATGTTTGAAAAAATTCTATAAGAAAATATTGATTTTGCAATTAGGCTCCGCCCTATAATTGCAAAATCCATTTTTCTTGTCGTGAAAAGCATATTAAGAAAAACCGAAATATCGAAAAATTGAAATGTCAAACATCGAGTTATCGAATAGTGAAAACATCGAGAAACTGAAATATTGGAAAATTGAAAAATCGAAAACATCAAAAAGTGAAACGAAAAATGGAAAATTCGAAAAATCGCGAACTTGAAAAATCGCCACTTCGAATCTAAAATTCGAGAAATTCAAAATTTGAAAACTCGGAAAATAAAATATGTTTAAAATGGAAAATTTGTATAAGGAATTTGGCTCCGCCCCAATTGCAAAATCCATGTACGGTTTTAGCCATGTTTCTTGTTATGAAAAGATGGCTCTGTATATGAAGAAAAAGAAGGCAAAATATAAGCCCCGCCCACCCACCCTATCTCAATTCTGATGAATTTTTTATTCGCCGTGAACCAAAGGGGCGGAGCTTAACTGCAAAATACTAATTTCTTTACAAGAAACTAAAAACATGTTTTTGAGTATCGTGTTGTCCAAAGATAATATGTACATTAAGAAATAAAAGCAAAATATAAATCCCGCCCACCGACCCCATCTCACTTCTGACGATTTCTTTTACTCTTAGAAACTTAAAACACGTTTAAAACGATAAATTTTTGTAAGAACTTATGGATTTTGCGATTAAGCTTAATCTTTAGCTTTAATTTTTTCTTAATATACATAGTATATGTCTTACATGGTAATTTGTTCTAAAGAAATAATTAGGATTTTGCAATTAAATTCCGCTCCTTTGGCTCGAGACGATTAAAAAAAAATCTTCAGAATTGAGACAGGGTGGGTGGGTGGGCTTATATTTTGCCTTTTTTTTTCTTAATACACATACATATCTATCTTTTCACAACAATAAACTTCATATTATATTTCCTTGTCAAAATGTACCATTTTAAGCATGTTCTAAGTTTCTTATTGTGAAAAGATGGCTCTGTATATTAAGAAAAAGAAGACAAAATATAAGCCCCGCCCACCCACCCTATCTCAATTCTGATGAATTTTTTATTCGCCGTGAACCAAAGGGGCGGAGCTAAACTGCAAAATACTAATTTCTTTACAAGAAACTAAAAACATGTTTTTGAGTATCGTGTTGTCCAAAGATAATATGTACATTAAGAAATAAAAGCAAAATATAAATCCCGCCCACCGACCCCATCTCACTTCTGACGATTTCTTTTATTCTTAGAAACTTAAAACACGTTTAAAACGATAAATTTTTGTAAGAACTTATGGATTTTGCGATTAAGCTTAATCTTTAGCTTTAATTTTTTCTTAAAACAAAAAAAAAATTAACGTCTTGCTGTTCACACCCACATTTGTCAAATAAAATCTATTACAACACTTTTCTAGATAAGATTACACTCGGAAAATATTCGTAAATGTATAAATAAATATTGAATAAACAAATTTTGATATTATTGTATAGTATTAAATTCCTCCAAATAGTGAAACATTTTCACAGACAACAACAAAATAATTAAATGATTTAATGGATTTATACAATATTAGATATGGACAAAAAAGCAACATTGCGTATTTGTAATAAATGCTACATGAATTTTGATCAGTGATCAAAGCAACCGAACTTTGTACCTTTTAAAATAAACTTCCAAGATGTTTGCAAAAGGTTGATTTTTGTTTATCAAAATAAATAAAGATATGTAGAGTGAATCCTTAGCTTGGTAATGTACCTCGCGAGCTACATAAAATTGCATTTTTTGATGATAATTTCTAACATTTCTTTATTTATTTAAAGTTATAGATATGTTTTATTGTATGTCAAATTTATACTTAGATGATTTTATTATGGTTCTGTTGAACTTTCTGATGCCTGAATTTAGTCCGAAATAATGTCGAATAAATTTTTTCAATATTTTTTACTCACTCTACTGTATGTACACATCTTTGATTGATTCTAAATCATGTTGTAAATAACTCCAAGGCCATAATTTATTTTATTATTGTTAATTAGTGGATTTAGCATGGACAACAACGAAGAGTTTAAACTTCAGATGGAATAGCGGGCGGTATGTATAAAATGACTACAGATAACTTATCGAGGTTATCGCTAATTTTATACATAATACATTAGGAAACGGAATCGTACAGTAAATTTTGGTCTGTACATCTTCAATTTTTTTAAATTTGTCAAATTAACCTTAATTATTTTTGACTAATAAAATTGCATTGTTTTTCTGGACACCCCGATCTGAATACTAAAATAAATAAGTAATTTCACCGATCAGTTTTAACATTTGCTTTCTTTATCTAACACAAGACCTTCGTTCAGTAAGCACAATGAGATAATTCATCCGGGAAAAAACACTGATAAAAGCTGACGATTTTACAGTAAGGATAAGGCTTGAAACGATAACGCACCAAACGTCACACTTTAATCACAACCGCAAGAACTAACACAGTTGTTAAAATCGTAATACTCACAAATATTGTGCACTGGTGACAGTTACTTTTTATTGTTCAAGTTTGGTGTTGGTTTCAAATTTACAAACAACAATGAGTAAGTTGCCTTTTCGGACGCTAGAGTCCCACATATCCAGCATTTTTTTCAAATTAGAGGCACCTCCCATACGCTTCTGGATCGCGGTGATGATTTTTTTTACCACTTTCACGAATTACATGCTCAGGGCGAACATGTCGGTCAGCATCATCAAAATGGTCGACAGGAAAGCCAGGAATTTTACGCCCCCGTGCAAAGAAGGACAGGTGGAAGTAGTGGCAAACGAAGTGAAGTCAGAAGATATCGTAAGTGAACACTTTTGTGTTTTTAAAAGTTCAGAACAACTACACCTGAGGTATCAAAGTTACCCTATGATGTGATTAATGTGGGACTGACAATAGTTGACCTCAGGGTTAGTGTTATATTTATAAATAGTATACAAAGTGAGTCAGCTAAAATTCCGCGGCCTAATGTCTTGAGAACAGATAGAGATATTGAAATTCTGCAAACGGCTTTGTTTTTAGCTTGGAGAGGGAAACTCAATTTAGTGCTTTAACAAGTAACTCAATAACAGCTTTAAATTATTTTTAAAATAGTTAAACGATCTGGCGAACAAGTCATTTTTTACAAAGACTATTGCATTTTAATAAACAAACATTTAAAGGAGAATATAATATATAATTGTTATTACAACGAACTATGCGAAAAAAGGGGGTGGTTCTTATGGTATACCGAGGAACATAAAAATTAATATATTTTTTTATTACATCAGGAACATCAATTAAGTAAGTTATTGAGTACTTTATATACAGGCTGGTCCAAATAAAACTAAACAGACGGAACCGTAGGCGCTGGACCTACTTGATTAGATATTCACCTGCCTTCTTATACTAATAGCAGCGATATCATGTCCACTGTTTATCATGAAAAGCGTTATCAGAAGTAAAAAAACAAACAAGACAGCAACATTACCACTCCTTTGCAACGCTGTATCTTGCCAACAAATCAACTGCATTTAAGTCGAAATACTAAAAAATCTCAAAATTGAAAAATTGAAGAATCGAAAAACTGAGAAAACTCACAAAATTGAACGAAATATCCAAAAATTGGGAAATTAAAAAATTGAAAAATTGGAAAATCGAAAAGCCGAAAAAAAAATCAAAAAATAGATTAATTGGGAAATCGGAAAACTGAAAATTCAGAAACGTCAAAACTTGAAAATTTAGAAAATTGGAAAATAGAAAAACCGATAAATCGAAAAATCGAAACATCGAAAAATTCAAAAACTGAGATAATCAAAACATCGAAACATCCGAATTTCGATAAATCGAATTCTCAAAAAATTGAAAAATAGAAAAAAATCTGGAAAAAAGAAAAATTAAAATATACAAGAACTGAAAACTCGAAAAATTCAGAAATCGAAATATATATAAAACAGTCGAAAATTGAAAAATCTAAAGTTTAAAAAACGAAAAACTGAAAATCCAAAAAATAAAAAATCGAAAAGTCGAAAAATAGAAATACTGAAAAATCCCAAAACTGAAACAAATATCCAAAATTGAGAAATTAAAAAATTAGCCAACCGAAAAATCCAAAAATCGAAGAATTGAAGAACTGAAAAAATCGAAACTGCGAATTTGAGAAACGGGAAAATAAAAAAAATATTAATTGAAAAATTGGAAAACTGAAAATTTAGCAACGTAAAAATTTGAAAAATTGGAAAATAGAAATACTGAAGATCTGGAAAATCAAAAACTCCACAAATCGCAAAATCTAAAATTAAAAACATTGAAATATCCAAAAATTGAAAAATGGAGAAATCCAAACATCAAAGAATCAAAAAAGAAGAATTCGAAAATCCAAAACTTAAAAATCGACAAATCGAAACACCAGTAATTTAAAAAAATTGGAAAATCGGATAACTGAAAAATCAAAACATCGAAAAATTGGAAAATCGAAAAACCGAGAAATCCAAAAATTGAAACATCGAGAAATAGAAAAAAATTGAGAAATTGATAAATTGAGAAATTGAACAGTCAAAAATAAAAAATCAGGAAAATGCAAAATAAAAATCGGGGAGTTGAAAAATTTCGGGGGCAAAAAATTGAAAAAGGGAAAAATTAAAAATCGAGAATGTGAAAAATGGGAAAATGAGAAATTGTAATATTGAAAAATTGGAAGTCGACAAACTGTAAAATTGAAAAATCAAAAATAAAAAAATGAAAAAGTGTAAGTATAATAAAAACTTGAAAATTTGAAGAAAAATTGAAAAAACCTGAAAATTTGAAAAATTGAATAAACGAAAAATTGTAAAATTGGAAGAAACAACAAAAAATAACGGAAATGAAAAAACGGACAATCGTGATATAAATCGAGAAAATAAAAGTTAAAAATTCGCGACATTGAAAAATAAAAATCGGGAACATGAAAAATTGTGGAGACGAAAAATTGAGAAACTGAAAATTCGAAAAATTGAAGAAACGAACAACTGAAAAAATGAAAATTTGTGACATAAAACCGAGAAAATGAAAATTAAAAAAAAATTAGGTAACGAAAAATTGAAAATGACAAAAATTAAAAACTGAGAATGTGAAAAATCAAAAAATGAGAAACTGTAATATTGAAAAATTAAAAAATTAAAAAATTGCAACTCCAAAAAATGAAAAATGCAGAAGTCAAGAAACTGTAAAATTAAAAAATCAAAAATAAAAAAACGAAAAAGTATATAATGAAAACTTGAAAAATGTCAAAAGTGTAAATCAAACATGAAAATTTGAAGAAACTGCAAACCTAAAGAATCGAAAAATTGAAAAATCTGGAGCCTGAAAAATTGAAAAATTGAACTGAAAAACTGAAAAATCGAAACCTTGGCAAGTCGAAAATGGGCAAATCAAAAAATAGATTAATTGAGAAATCGGAAAACTGAAAATTCAGAAACGTCAAAACTTGAAAATTTAGAAAATTGTAAAATTGAAAAATCGGATAATTCAAAAATCGAAAAGCCGAAAAATAAGAAAGCGAAAAACCGATAAATCGAAAAATCGATACATCGAAAAATTCAAAAACTGAGACAATCAAAACATCGAAACATCCGAATCTCGATAAATCGAATTCTCAAAAAATTGAAAAATAGAAAAAAAATCAGGAAAAAAGAAAAATTAAAATATACAAGAACTGAAAACTCGAAAAATTCAGAAATCGAAATATATATAAAACAGTCGAAAATTGAAAAATCTAAAGTTTAAAAAACGAAAAACTGAAAATCTAAAAAATAAAAAATCGAAAAATCGAAAAATAGAAATACTGAAAAATCCCAAAACTGAAACAAATATCCAAAATTGAGAAATTAAAAAATTAGCCAACCGAAAAATCCAAAAATCGAAGAATTGAAGAACTGAAAAATCGAAACCGCGAATTCGAAAAACGGGAAAATAAAAAAAAAAATTAATTGAAAAATTGGAAAACTGAAATTTAGCAACGTCAAAATTTGAAAAATTGGAAAATAGAAATACTGAAGAACTGGAAATTAAAAAAATCCAGAAATCGCAAAATCTGAAATTAAAAACATTGAAATATCGCAAAATTGAAAAATGGAAAAATCCAAACATCAAAGAATCAAAAAAGAAAAATTCGAAAATCCAAAACTTAAAAATCGAAAAACTGAAAAATCGACAAATCGAAACACCAGTAATTTAAAAAAATTGGAAAATCGGATAACTGAAAAATCGAAACATCGAGAAATTGGAAAATCGAAAAACCGAGAAATCCAAAAATCGAAACATCGAGAAATAGAAAAAAATTGTGAAATTGATAAATCGAGAAATTGAACAATCAAAATATCCAAACACCTGAATTCGATACATCAAGAAATAAAAAAAAATTGAAAAATTTTAAAAAAGAAAAATTAAAACATCGAAAATTTAAAAAGTATAAAAGAGGTGGAAACCCAAAAACTGCAAACTGAAAAATTTAAAAATTACAAAATCGACGAATTGGAATTGATTGGCCTGAAAATTTGAATAAACGGAAAATTGGAAAATCGAAAGAAACAACAAAAATTAAGAACATGAAAAAACAAAAAATTTTGATATAAAATCGAGAAAATGAAAAATAAAAAATCAGGAAAATGCAAAATAAAAATCGGGGAGTTGAAAAATTTCGCGGGAAAAAAATTGAAAAAGGGAAAAATTAAAAATCGAGAATGTGAAAAATGGGAAAATGAGAAATTGTAATATTGAAAAATTGGAAGTCGACAAACTGTAAAATTGAAAAATCAAAAATAAAAAAATGAAAAATTGTAAGTATAATAAAAACTTGAAAATTTGAAGAAAAATTGAAAAAAACCTGAAAATTTGAAAAATTGAATAAACGAAAAATTGTAAAATCGGAAGAAACAAAAAATAACGGAAATGAAAAAACGGACAATTGTGATATAAATCGAGAAATTAAAAGTTAAAAATTCGCGACATTGAAAAATAAAAATCGGGAACATGAAAAATTGAAGAATCGAAAAACTGAGAAAACTCACAAAATTGAACGAAATATCCAAAAATTGGGAAATTAAAAAATTGAAAAATTAGGAAATCGAAAAGCCGAAAAACTGGAAACCTAAAGAATCGAAAAATTGAAAAATCTGGAGCCCGAAAAATTGAAAAATTGAACTGAAAAACTGAAAATTCGAAACCTTGGCAAGTCGAAAATGGGCAAATCAAAAAATAGATTAATTGAGAAATCGGAAAACTGAAAATTTAGAAACGTCAAAACTTGAAAATTTAGAAAATTGGAAAATTGAAAAATCGGATAATTCAAAAATCGAAAAGCCGAAAAAAAAAAAGAAAACGAAAAACCGATAAATCGAAAAATCGAAACATCGAAAAATTCAAAAACTGAGACAATCAAAACATCGAAACATCCGACTCTCGATAAATCGAATTCTCAAAAAATTGAAAAATAGAAACAAAATCCGGAAAAAAGAAAAATTAAAATATACAAGAACTGAAAACTCGAAAAATTCAGAAATCGAAATATATATAAAACAGTCGAAAATTGAAAAATCTAAAGTTTAAAAAACGAAAAACTGAAAATCCAAAAAATAAAAAATCGAAAAGTCGAAAAATAGAAATATTGAAAATTCCCAAAACTGAAACAAATATCCAAAATTGAGAAATTAAAAAATTAATCAACCGAAAAATCCAAAAATCGAAGAATTGAAGAACTGAAAAATCGAAACTGCGAATTCGAGAAACGGGAAAATAAAAAAAAATTAATTGAAAAATTAGAAAACTGAAAATTTAGCAACGTCAAA